AAACAAGAAAGTTGGGAACGTGCATTAATTACATTTGAAAAATATGCAATTGATTTTAAAAGAAAATATGATTGTGTACCAATATTAATCTTTGATAATTGTGATTCACTTGCACAAAAAGATAAGAGAATGCTTGAAATATTACAAGATACAGCAAAGACAGCTATTGATGATTCAACATGGATTACAGTATTTGTTGGATCAATTGGAGAAGCACCAGAACAAATGGAAGGTCTGTCATTTACAAATGAACATTTCCAACAGTCTAATCGCTTGAGACTATTGTCATTCGATCGATTATGAAAAAGTCTAGTTTTTCGGTCTTTACGTCTTGAGTTATTGACATTTTACTTGATTTTCCTTCTATGAGTATAGGATCCCTGAGAATTTGTGTGATCAAATTTTGAGCTAGGATAAATGTGTCTGTATCGAGATATCAGCTTGTCATAGAAAGGTTCTTCTTTTGAAGCACAGTCCAAAACAGGCGTTTCTTTGAGATATTCGTTCAGGCTCAAACTATGAGATGCTACTAATGACTTTAAAGTAGTGTCCTACACGAACACGACTTTTTGAAACTGGAGCTAATCGACATCCAGCGGATACTTTAAACAACAACAAAAAAACAAATGAATCAAGTCATTCATGATTCACTTGCCGTCTTTCTGATTCTAAAATCCGATCGTTTTTGCCAAGTATACGTTTGCTTGCTGCTGATGACACTCGAATGTAATACAACGTTGGTGTCAAACGTCATAATTGTGGATACATACATGAATGCTTTACATACTCACATTTTTTTATAATTCATTTTCTTCTCCATGTATTCAGTTAATTCGTTATATGATTCATCATCATTTGTAGATGAATTTCATTAAAAACGAATTCTATTAGTAAAACAATATTGTTTTCCACTTCCGTTATCTGTTCTTAAATACAATAAATTGTACAATCATGATCGAATTAGTTTTCACTTCTATGCTTATATCTAAATTAGCAGTTTAAAAAAGTAAAAATATTTTGAAGTGTCGAAATCTCATTCATTACTACGTCGGGCTCAGGTATAGGATCATGCTCGGCAGTATCCGACATAGGTCACTTCTTTTGTTACCTGACCTAACCCAACCCGCGGTGACGGATAGTTTTTGACCAATCAAAGTGAGTTTTTTTCAGACATTGTCAATCTTCTCAGTAAATCGATACATATTCTATAGGTATTCGGAATTCGCAAACCTTTTGTGACCCGACCCGACCCGACCGGAGGTCAAGTATGTTTTTTCGTGACCCAACCCGACCCGAGTGGGACACTGATACCCGGCTCGATTTCAGGGCACTACTACAAGGTCTATCTATGGACAAAATCTCCGTTTGAAATTCGATCATCCATGTTCTTAGTGATTCTATACTCGATCATAGGAAGATAATCGAGTAAAGTGCTCATAACTCGGCAAGGACAGATCGGAAAATCAGATATTGTCAGTATTCATCATAACCGATTGAATAGTCAAGTATGCCTCCTTGTTATTTCTAAGTCTTAGAAAATCGAAGATTATCTATATTAAACTAATATTCGAAATTTTTGAGATTCTTGAAATATATTTTGTTTAGACAAATATTAAATTAACATAATAATTATAATAATATACTTTTATTTTCAGGTCGAAGTAGTATTACTCGTGCTGCATCATTTATTGAAATAGCAGATCTATCAGAAAAAGAAGCAATCACTTATTTAACAGAAAAACGAAATTTATCACAAGATATGGCGAAAGATATTTATGCACTTTTTGGTGGTCGTATTAAACGTTTACAAAATGCTGCAAGTAAAATCGAAAGTGGTACATCATTTTCTAGTAAGTAACATCAAATATTTTTTTTTCTCTTTTGAATAAAAAAAATCTTCGGCGTTCGATTTTTCTTTCATTTAGCTATTCGAAAAGCAACTTTAAATGGTATAGCACGTCGAATAGAAAAAATTCGATGTCGAGTTAGTAATCAAGAAGAAGCATTTATTTTTAATATTCTTTGTGGTTTATTAAATCGATTTGAAGTAACTGTTGATGATTTAATTGAAATGGAAAAAGATGTTAATATAAGACAAAAAATTTTAGAAGAACTTCGTAATGAAACAATTCTTGCTCGAAATGTTACAAATGGTGCATATGTATTCCATGAACAAGCAACAAAAATGTGTGTTAAGGAATTTTATGAAGAAAAAAGATGTTTTCCTTGTAAATGGATCAAAAATATGAAATTTTAAAACATCTGTTTTTTTTTATATTTGTATAGAATAGTTTTATTAATCGATGTATCGATCAAGGAAATAAAATATAATGGTAATCAAGCAATAAAAAGAAAATAAACATAGATCTAAATCTCTGCTACTGTCCACGCTAGAATTAAGTAGTTGATGACCTGCAGTTTTCTACAATTGAAAGAGAAGAACTACGAACATCTGTTTGTAAAGTCGATTATCTTTGCAATAAAAAATTCATGATAATGATGTTCTGTTTCAAGAAAATTTACTAGAAATCAACAGAATTCTATTTAATTTGACCTAATAGATACGTGATTTTGCTTGTTCAATAGTGAAATATGAGAAGACAAGACATAAATATTACAATTGAATTGATAAGTTTTGTTACAATAAAATCATTTTTGATTAATAAATGGATTTTCAATCAAGTAAGTCATACAACATACATGATTTGATCATTTTATTTAATAACAAAAAAACAAATTAAGATTGATCTCACAAAAACAGAAAATAGTTCTATAACTTAAAACATTAACATATGTTAAAGCAAAAAATTTAACTCACAATTATTCTTTCCTATGTGGATATTGATACTAAACTTGTAGATCTTATATATGAGTAAAATCATCCGTTAGCAACGTTACACAAAAAAGGACACTCACTTTCACTTCATGCATTCTATTTTAAAAAAAAAACTCTGGATTGAAGCAGCAGTTTTGAAAACTAAATAGTACATTATGTAGACAAATTCTGAGGCTAGAAAATCCTCTAGTCAGTATTTTTTCTGAACATGCTTAGATTTTTCAAAAAAAAAAAATCGATTTACTTTTCGTTAGCGGCGTGACGTAGTACGAATATATAAACGAAAAAATGCTCTAATAACTGAATGAGAAATTTTAAATCAATTCCAAACGGTACAATACCTCCTTCAGAATCTCTAGAAAATTGATGGTTAAGAGGAAGATTTTTAGAGATCGATCTTGATGAAAATTTTACCATAGATGTAGTTCCCGTCGTAGAATGTATCCTAAAGTTTTCGGATTTTTTTCTCGTATGGTTTGAGAGATATTTGCTAATTACTTTTTTATTAGCAGGCAGCTGAATGCAACGAAGAGTTCGTCATTGTCCGATTCAAATAATAAAATTTAAGACAATAGATAAGTATTCGAGATACTAAAGAAGTTCAAGCCCTATTAGAATATATAATTAGTTAGTGATGATAAATAAGGAGGTCTTCATTGTAATTGATTTATTTTCTAGCTAGTAGGTGTAAGTTAAAACATAAATATATAGGCTCTTTTGAGAATATACAGTACCCGCCATAAGTGGGTACGAGCTCGTTTTCTTGTTCAATAATGATTTTTATTTTATCTTTTTGCTTTGTTTGAACGGGCTAGTCGGGCTCATCGTCCGGTATAAATAGGAGCATTTATATTCCTTCTGTTATCAATTTATAACTTAATAAACGAATAGGGGGTGGCGACTTAGTATTGGCGTTGGCATTAATTAACACTAATTCTAGAAACGCCACGCCTAGGGAGAGCAAGATGGAGCAAAAGTGTTGGAACAAAAAAGATGCACAAGGCGTATCTGCGTAGAATAATTACGTTAAATTTTTCAATTTAATAGATAATAATGAAAAATTTTTTAAAATAAATGCATTATCTTTTTATTTCGATATTAAAATTCATATTTCTCAATTATTATATGCATAATGGTATATTTTAACAAAAATGATCACAGCTATCCTATGCGGGTGCGCCTTGTGCATCTTTTTTATTCCAGCACTTTTGCTCCATCTTGCTTTCCCTAGGCGTGGCTTTTGTAAATTAGTATTAATTAATGCCAGTGCTAATACTAAGCCGCTACCCCCTATTCTTTTATTAAGTTATAAATTGATAACAGAAGGAATATAAATGCTCCTATTTATACCGGACGATGAGCCCGACTAGCCTGTTCAAACAAAGCAAAAAGATAAAATAAAAGTCATTATTGAACAAGAAAACGAGCTCGTACCCACTTATGGCTGGTACTGTATATGATTAGCTATCTTGAATGTATTTTTACAATGACAATAAATTTAAAAAACCAAATAATATTATTTTTTTCAGGAATATATGTATACATTTATCATTTTTGATGTTTAATAGTAGTTTGAAAGAGCTATGATATAAGAAATATTGATGCTTAACATTCTATTTATTGAATAATGAACTATTTAAATTAATATTAAAAGTAATCTTTTGCTTGATATTACGAATCGAAAAGAATTAAAGGTATATTTTCCAATTCATTCGTCATTAGATTCACGGATATAAAAGAAAGTTCATGTAATATTTTAATAAAGAATCGAAATGAATATATTAATTATTACATTCATGAAAAATTTTGTCCTATTCAACGATTAAAATTATGAATCCTTCTATAAAATTTTCTACCATAATAGCTGACACATTTTCTTTGTCATTCTTGATCCATCCATTTGATGGTATTTACTAGACAGGGAGAAAGAAATTTCGACGTCCAAAATAAGAAAGACTATATTGAACTGATAAATATATGTATATATATATATATACAAAGTAGAAAAGAAAAGATAATAAACAAACACGCACGCACATATAGTCGACACGGTATTTTGCTCTTTCTGATCTAGTTAACTAGAAAAAAATAAATAATAATAATAACATGTAAGATTCTGTTTAAAAAGAAACGAAATTTTTTATTTGAAATTATCTACTTAAGAATGATGTCAACAGAATCTCCAACACAAAATCAACAACAACAACAACAACAACAGCAATCAACAGTATACGATGAGCGTGTATTTAATGAGCGTATTCGTCAATTATTTAATTCGATCGATTCATCTTCAATACCTCATTCTCCTTTATCATCACAGGGTGATATTGGTCATATGACATCTATTGTTGATGCTCTTTTTCCTGAACAAGCTTCATTTCATCAACAACGAGAACAACGTCATGCATCAACAAATGATCTTACAACAGCTTTGGATCGATTTCCATTATGGAATAATAATAATAATAATAATAATAAATCGAATAGTTCAGCATCAGCTTTTTGTGGTGGTACAACAAATGGTTCATCAGCATTTGTTAATCGACGTCAATCAAAATTACATAGTTCATCACGTTCATTACGCAACACTAATTATCATTGTCAACAACAACAACAAAATCATTATCGACCACCACCACTTACTCGACCTCGTTTTGCTTCATCGGCAATACGTTTACAATCAGCGATAACAACGTAAGTTTTAATGATAATTTTAATTGATTATTTAATTAAATTTTTATTTATATTTTAGAACTACTCCTAATAATAATAGTACTAATGGCCTTCAACGATCATCATCATCATTGTCGACTAATAATAGTATATGTGGTACAACTGATTATCAACCTCGTTTTGCTAGTCGTCTTTCAAGTAGTCGATTACCTACGGCTGCACCACCTGTAGGATCTTATGATCAAATAGCGAGTAATAATATTACAATAGATCCAATAGTTCCACCATCAGCAACATCTACTATTGGTGTTATGAATCAACCATCATCAGCTTCTGCTGGACTTGCTCGCAGTACTTCATCAGCAAATGCTCAACCACAACAATTTGTTACTATGACACAAACAACAACAACAACATTTTGTTATGTACCTGCTTCTGGTTCACTTGCTTATAATAATTTATCAGGTACAAATCGAAATGCAACAATTTCTCATCATTAAAAAAGGAAAAATTTTCATTCATTTGATTGAAAACTGTGTAGAATATGTCGTCGTTGTCTAAGACACATATTTATTTATTTATTTATATATACATATATAGATATATTTATCTTATTTATGGTTTACTTGTGTACATGTGCAGATTTTCTTCTTTGTTTCTTTTTTTTTTTGGATTTTGGATCAATCGATCGCTAGGTCTTTTTTCTGTTGTATTTGTCGAACAATTTCATACACAGAATTATTTATTTATTTATTTATTTTCTTTCTCTCTTTTTTGTTAACTATTCTCTCTTCTTCTTATTATTATTAATGGTTAAATAGTTGTCTTTGCAACGTAAAACAAAGAACAACTTTTGTTCAATAAAAAGTTTATGATAATGTAAAACTTATTCAGAGATATTCTTAATTATAATAGAGATAATAAAATAAAATTATGAGTACAAATCTTATATTGTTTCTGATATGAAATACACATATTGACTTTTCTTAAAGATTATGCTTGGTATTATTTGATTTTATTTTATAGTGACTTCATCAGTTAGAATAATCATAACAGATTGAAGTTTTTCTATCTAAATATTGTTACCGTTCGAAGTGATGTGTAACATGAATCCGTATGAAAAGTGTATCTATTCTCTTTAAATTTATAATCAAATTCAAATTACAAAGTATTATTGAATGTATATGTAAAATGGTTGAATCCAAGAGATTCAATAAATCATTGTATGTTGATCTTCAACATTTCAGTTTCATAACAGAGAAGATCAAAAGCGTGGATGTGGATCTCCTCTTCATCTACACCACACTCACACCTTCAATTTTGACTTATTCTTATTTGAAATAATTATTTAACACAACTGACACGCATCTCAATCTATAAAAGAATACTATTGTTGACAGAAATATAATATGAACTAAAATATATGGTTGTTATATTAGACTTCCTATTTTAAGAGTTCTTAATATCTAAATATTTTCACAGTTTCATGATGTTAGAAGTTGGCAAGATCTTGACAAGAGAACGGAATCTTTTCTGAAAATTAGTAATCAAGATATGAATTGAAAACTACTAACTATTGGGATTTTATAAGAGATGGTCAAAATTTCGAGGTGAAAAATCTTTAGTTTAGACCGAAATTAACTTCTAATACCTGTTTAACTTTTCGTGAGTATAATAAATTCATTCAGCATCATCTCAGGCTCTCATCGTACGATGAGAAAGTGTTAGTTCAATATTTAGACCTGAGATTTTGACGACAACTAGAAATTTGTCATTGGAAGACTTCTAGACTCATATCTCTTGATCATTAAAACCATGGAAATCGTTAAAAATGAGTTAAGTACATCAACTCTAATACACTAAAATTCAATAGAAAAACTAGCTGGTTCAAAGAGTTCAACCGGTCAGATTTCAAGTGTATTTTAGATTTTTACTATACAATCTATATGTAGAAAGAAACTAATTGTATTACTTTCAATTCTTATTGGAGTCTAGTTTCTGATAACTATTCAAGTGATTTTTAAATTCGAAATTTGCAAAAATGATTAACATAACTTTCAAATAGTTTTAATCCTTTCTCGAAAACTGATCTACATTAGTTGATTTTATTTTCAAGCTAGTTTTATTTAGATAAATAAAAAAATAAAAAAGAACTCTTTATTTTAAATGTAAAAATTCAAGTTTATACTTGTGCTCGAGAAGCATCTGCTGTAGTAGTTATTGCTGGTATTATGATAGATTTTGTCTGATGTCGATGATTATTTTGAAATGAAAAATGTTTATTATCTATTTGTTGTATTGAAGATTCGATAGATAAAGATAATCCATTTGGAAGAAGTAAAACATGTCGTTGATAATTTTCTCGACTTTTCGGCTGTTTTATGTGATTTTTAACTAATGATTGTTGTCGATAATTCGTTCTAGATTTGGACTATTTTATTTCATTATTAAAAAAATGGTATTTGTTCAATATGTTGTACTAACTTATTTGTTGTTATAGATTTTGGTATTGTATGTTGTGAAACAAATGATTTTACTGATAAAGAATTGAATGATTTATTCGATGTGATAATATTAATATTAGAACTAAATGAATCAGTTGAATTTTGATGTTTATGTTGATGATTTATATGAGAACGTATTCGATGATTATTTCTAGACGAATTAGATCTATCCGAATGATGTTGTTCACCATTTTTACGATGACATTCATTAGGAACTGTTGGACCACGTTTTGCTAATGTTGCTGTATAATCTATGGTTAGATAAATAGCTTTTTGTACAGTTGTTTGTACTGATGATCTATTAGGTACAGCTATTAATGATCGAGACATGAATGATCGATTTGATACGGGCACAAGTTTTGTTGATACTGACATATTATTAGTTGTAACACATGATTCATGCCAAGATTGAATACTAGCTAAAGGTGTTAAAGCCAATATGTTTTGTTGTTGTCGAGATGAAGGAGAGCATTGTCATTTTTTTGGTAAATGTTCATCAAACATAACAGTTTGTGATTGATTCTTAATCATATCAGGAACTTCAACATGAATATATTCATTAGGATTATATGAAATATTATGGGATGGTGTCATTTGATGTGATTTTACTGGATAAAATGAATTATTAACATCATGAAAAAATTGCCATGGTTGATTTCCTACATTATTTTCAGTAATTGAATAATTATTAGATGCATCAAGTGGATCTATTAGAACAAATGTTTCATATTTAGTTAAGACTAAATATTTAGAGAAAAATTTTGAAAAATAAAATACCAAGCATCATTCGGTAAGCGCTTATTAAAAAAAATAAACGATTACTTTATTTAAATCCTATGGAGTATTGTGATGAAAACGATAATTTTGCTTTTTACACATCGTGACAAAGATAGTAATAAATCAGAAATTGAAGACAATATTATGTGAATCATTTTGTTGACTACAAAAGTAGCTTCATCATCTTTCGAATTTCTATTCCATAATATAATCTACGAAAATTAGTCGATAAGTTTATAGTTGTACAAAGAAAAAAAAAGTATCCAAAAGTTCATTATTAGATACTAAAATTTGTTTGAAATAGTTGATTAAGTACTAATGAGAGAAATTTTTTTGAGACTGTTTATCTAAAGCGTCACTTTTTCACTACAAAAATATTGAAATTAACTTTAATAATAACAAGATGAAGAAATAAGTTTAATTTTTGTTTATTTTTCTGTTTCTTGAAAGTACAGCATGAGAGATAAGTCGAATTACTGATTGTAGTGAAATACGAAGATACGTTCATGAGTACTCCAACTTCTGAAAGACTAACACTTATTAACATAAGTTTGCACAAGTAAAATGCTCGGTGATCAATTTCAAACAGTTAGATCTGTTACTATTTTATGAAACATGATCTAAAGAGAGTATTGAAGTACATAGAGTAAAGATTTACACTCCCTTTCTCCCTACAGACATCTCTAGCAACATCATAAACCGTGACAGATGTTATTGATACACAATCAAAGATCGTATATCAATAACGTCTCATTGTAATATATGAACTATTTCCGTATTGCATTTCTGGATGATAAAGAAATCTGTCTGAATATAAATAGAGTAAAACAATCTTCTTATCATTGGCAACAGCAGCTATATCGTGTTTTACATTTTAATCCGACACGGATTGTGCTAATTCTTTTTTTTTTAAGTTACAGTGTTAATTTTAATACACAGCTAACACTGTTCACTTTGGTTATTTTCTAATGCAGTTGATAATGCACTCGGCTTGAAAAAAAGAAATAAAATTCGGGTCAGACGGTGCATTTCAAGCTCTGCTACTCGTCATTTCTAAAAATTGATATTTTTTAGTTTTGTATTCATTTCAAGGCTTTTCTTCTATTACTATAGATTTTTCGACTATTATGCATATCAATCAATTTTTGCTTTATTTTACATGAAAAGATTTTTGAGCATAAAAATTTGCCAAATCATTCATATATTATAAATAATATTCATTTCAAACCAATAAAATGGTTAAAGTCTATGACGATGATAGATTCTTTCTCTACACTATTATGTCAGAGAAATAACTTGTTTAAGATAAAATACAGAAATTTCATAATAGATAAATTATAATAATAGTTGCTTTTGTTTTTGTTGAATTTAATATCTTACCATTTATTTTCATTATTTGTTGTTGATCAAAATTTTTATTCAATAATTCATATGTTTTAATAAAATCAAAATTTTGATGTTGTTGTATTTGTTTATCTTTTCGTATTTTAATGTATGTTTCATTGTCTTCAATCCATGATCGATTCAATATACTACCCATTGTTCTTGTGTCAAAAAAATTCGTTTTGTATATTTTAATTTTCTTATTTCAAATAATCATCAAGTCTTTACTTCTTACCTCAACTATTAGTCTGTTCGAGCAATCAATTGATTATAAGTGATCGATATGATAGATAATGAAAGGAAAAAAAAAATCAACATTATGTTTGCACATAGATTAAAAAACATGATGTTCCACATTAATGAATATGTATAAGGCACAAACTACTGACATAAACATACAAAAAACACTCATACATATGGAAGATTTGAATCATTATTATTATGCTTTTTTTTTTGTTTGACACTGTAAAATGGAATAAAATGAATACCTGACAGAAAAAAAGAACTGTTATATGTAGTATATCGAACAAGAAAAGACGAATGTGAATATTTTAATATAATGATGTTTTTTTCATAATTCGTAAAAATTCTTGTTCATTTATTTCACTATCACCATCACGATCTGCTTCATCAATCATTTCCTTTAGATAAAAAATAAAAAAGCAAAAGAATATTTCAAATTGAAAATTAATATAAAAATTAATTTACTTGTAATTCTTCATCAGTTAAATTTTCACCTAATTCTTTTGCAACACGTTTTAAATTTTTAAATGAAATTTTTCCTGTATTATCATCATCAAAAAGTCTAAGAAAGAAGAATAAAAAATTCATAAAAAGAAAATATTTTTTTTTTGTTACCGAAAAGCTTTGAGTATTTCTTCTTTTGAATCTTTTTCAGCCATTTTTTGTGACATTAATTGAAGAAAATCATTAAAATCAATTGTACCTTATCATAGAAAAAAAAAAAAAAAAAATTTTTTCTATATTTAGAAAAATTTTTTATACTTATTTACCTGCATTTTCTTTTTGTATATCAGATATCATTTTTTTTATTTCTTCTTTTTTTGGTTCAAAACCTAATGCTCGCATTGCAACCTAAAATAAATTTTCATATAATAATAATAGAATAAATCGTTTTTATTTTTTAATATTAACTTTAAGTTCTTTAACATCAATTGTTCCTGAACCATCAGCATCAAATAGATCAAAAGCTTCACGAATTTCTGTTTTTTGTTCTTCAGTTAATTCAGGTCGAGAACCTGTTGGTCGTTTTTTGGCACCACCACCAAGTGCAGGACGTTTCATTTGAGTTGTTGTTGTAGCCTATATACAAATATATATAGAAATATGATTAAACTTAAATATAATAGAAGATCTTTTACCATTGGAATGAAAATGAAATATGTTGAGAGATTATTAAAAGGCAGAGATGTTGTCTATAAAATGAACGAAAGAATGCCATGTTGTCAAGTTCATGTCCTCCTATGTCAATATTATAATTTAATTGAAATTCTGAATAAAATACTCTGTCATGATTATATTCTGATAATAAAATTAGATCGTTTTTTCATAATTGAGAATGAAATTTTATAAGTTCTTATCAAAAGATGTCACTAGAGACTATATTTGACACATCTTCGTGCCTTTTTCTAAAGATATGTTGACGCAATTGTGGCGATTCTTTGATAATATAGAAACAGAAAATCAAAATGAATGTTTCCACTACACTTTCGTCTGGTGTTTTCTATATTTTATAGAAGGTATTGAAACATTTTAGTAGTTACCATGTTTTATGTACGTAATGAAACAACACTATAATTCGATGGTATTTATTTGTTTAATTACTTATGAGAGAAGTTCTCCAACTGATTAATCACTTTTGACCGAAACCTTAGCTTATTGCTATGGAGATACTGCAAATTTATTGTAGTTTTAAATGAATCTCTGTAGTCCTTCTCAGGAACACCAGAAAAGTTAATTTTCAAATTTCGACTTGAAACTTCACACAGAGACAGATCTTAACAAGAATAATTCATTGTGAAAGTTTCAGTTCTTTTGATTTGCTTCTATTCTGAAATACGAGTATCAAGTCTGTTGGTTTCAAATTGAAATTTGAAAATCAATTTTTTGTGATATTTCTGAGGAGACCTAAAAACTACCGTAAAAGTGCAATATCTCCGTTGCATTAAGCTAAGGACACAAATTCTTTCCAGTTCACGTTAGTAGATATTTGCTTTTATTATTAATTCTTATATACGCTGATGTATGATCTTCCAAATACAATTGATAATATTAAATGTGAAATTGAGAAAACTAACGAAGTTAATACTTGAATTTCTTAAATCTTATAAAGTCAATTCATTCTGATATGTGTTGAAAATATATATAGATACTGTTGAATCAAGGGCAAAAATAAATTTTTATTGTTCTCAATTAATAACATAAAAACTATCACCATTATTCGAAATTTCACTACCATCCCAACGAATGGTTTGTTGTGAAACAGGATGATCAATTCACTAAAATAATTTTAGACATATAAAACATTTCATTATTCAATAACTTTACTTGATCTCCAACTCGAATACCATTACTATCTTGATTAATATAAAGAGCAGCACAATTTGAATATTTACCATTGCGAAATGTTACAATGGCTATACTAGATGCAATATTTGTAAAATTAATAAACGTAAATATTTCTCGATCTACTTTTGTTCCTTGTTCCCATCGACTTGTCGTACGTCGATCACTAGTGAAAATTCTATTTTATTCAATATAAAAAATAGAAATTCTTACAAAATGTAAATAACATTTACTTAATAAAACTTACACATTTACACTTCAATAATCATCTAAAATTGAAATGTGATTGTATATAATGAACAATGAAATGAATAATTTATCTAAATGATCACAAAGACTTTTGCCACTATATTGATCTGGATTGAAGAATGAAATTCCTACAATTCGGATTTAATGATGATTTCTTACCGTTCGGTACGGAAACAAAGCTGATAAGAGTAAATAATAACAATATAAGAATATTGGTTATTTAATCATCGATAAATAAATTTAATATTTTTATCGACGAAATTAAATGGATTTATTGTTTGTTATTTTAATTATTTCATTTGTAAATAAAAATACTTCCATAAGTCATTTAATCAGCAGTTGTAACACATGTTTCTAGAAGAATTTAAAGTTCATTTTAAATAAACATTGAATATATGAGTATTGAAGAGAAGAAATGAATGATTGAATGAAAATCATTAACAATGTAATTAATTTCTTATAAATAAATACAATATATAACTTTACATCAGAAGTATTAAAACTTGACAACTTCCGTTTTATGATAGAAATTATTTGTTCGAATCCCAGCTTAGCAGAATTTACTCGTCAAATGCTATGAAACAAGAAAAATTATTTGGAAGTAAAAAATTTCAAAATATGGAATCAAAAAAGGAGATTCAGGAAGTCGCGTTCAAAAGATATTTCATGTCAAAATATTCATTAACATCTGCATATGATATTCAACGTAGTTGTTCGTATGAAATACATACGACTATGAAGATTTTATCAAAAAGGTGGCAAAGTAATTGAAATATCTTCAATCTAATCTGACAAATTTACTACTGGAGTTTATTTTACTTCAATTAAAACATCGTGAATAAAATTTTGATTTTCTTTCTATAGGGTGTCCAGTAAGTCATGAAATAAGAAAAAGAAAATCGAATATCTTCGCCATATTTTGATCAAATTGGCTGATATTTGTGTTACTGGTAGAGGAGTGTTCATAGATCATATTCATAAGTGAAACGTTGTCAAAAACTATTTTAAAGTATCACAACTGATTTCAACAAGGAACTGTAATATTTTACTAACTATAGAAAAAACAATATATTGATTCGCTTAGCCAAGAATAAACGACATCTAATTTTTTCGATTGATTCTCCCCAATAGTATCCTTTGATCTATTATTATTTATTTCACAGATGCTTGTCTTGTTATTCAGTGTACTTCGAAAGTTTCAGCCGTACACAGCAAGAAATTTGTTGAGAAAATTGCAATATTGGTTTTTCATAACTCGCGGACGGTTACAGTTCTATGTTGAGGTCAATTATGATACCTCAAGACAGTTTTTGACAACGCTTCACTTATGAATATGACCTATGAACATTCCTCTATCAATAGTAAAAATATTAGTCCATTTGGTCAAAATATGGCGAGAGGTATTCGCTTTTCTTTCTCTTGTTTCGTGGGTTACTGGACATCCTATATATTTCATCTATTCCTTCTTGATGAATTGTTGTATGCACTAAAATAAATTCTCTTTCCCAACTGATGTAATTTCGAAAAAAAATTAGCTCAAAATTGTTTTTTTCTCTCACGAAAAAAAAACAATTGTGTTACATTCGATGATTTTTAATCAATCTATACTACTATTTAATTAAAAACATTTTATTTCACAAATTCCATATAGATTATTTTTTCTGCTAATGAAATATGAATATTTAGTATAGTTTTAAAATATGATTTGAAATTTACTTAAGTTAATTATGTTTACACAAATATATACATTTATAATACATTAATAAATCTTTTTATATACCAGCTTAAACATCCATATTCTATTACAAATTAATATCTGAATACAGGTACTCAATAGTAATCATAATGTGAGAATTATTCTAAAATTGGTATTGTTTTTTATGTTGTTAGAGACCTGTCTTAATAAGAAAAATAGTATGCAGTTTATTTTAACCTATCTTTTTCATTAAGGAGTTTCTATAAATACATAAAACCATGATATGTTGTTTTTCTAAAGTATTGCATGACTACCAAGGACGGATCTACAACAGACAAAGAGTTGCGACCTCTGCCCTTTTTTCATGATCGCACCACTTTCAAAAATTCCTTGATTTAAAAAAAAAACCTAATTATCATTAAATAAAATATTATTTAAAGCAAAAAAAATCTTCAATAAACCAAGAAAAACATTTGATTGTAAATGAACCAAAAATATATTAACAATTTGGTGAAAGACATCTCCATTTGTCAACTTCACGTCGAACACCATCAACAATCACTGTTAAAAATTGCAAAGTCTATAAAAAATAAATTATCCTATTTCTTCACGTCATATTCAATTACTTTATAGTGAACCGTTCTGTTAGTTCCATGTCAGCACAGAAACCGCACACTCTAACGTCGTACCTCATGTACTCATCACTTTTTTTTTTTTTTCATTGATTATTTCCTCTATTTTTCTTCTTCTTCTCCCAGTTCCTCTTCGTTGTTTCCTTTTTTTCTCGTCTTTTTCATAGAAAAAAAAGAGCGAAAAGACGGAAGATATATATATATATATAGGACTGAAATCCTACAAGACTCCTCATTTTTTACAAATAAAACAACGATCGTCGATCTTCTCTCTCTTTTCTTACTACTATCGTTATAAGAGGAACAAACAATGATGCAAAACGTTAAAGACGCTGCTCATGCTATTGCAGACAAAGTCAAAGGTAGTAAATGAAAATATAATAGATAAGTTCGTTACAATTTTTTTTTTTTGTGCTTCTAGAAGTAACAAGTGGTACTTCACATGAAACAAATAAGGAAGCAGCTAAAACTAATATCCCGTCAACAGGTAGGCGCATTGATCGTGGCATCGATATTGTTACGGATAAAGCTATGATGTCTTTGCGTTCGTCATTGAAAAAAAAAGAAAAAAATTAATATTAAACTGTTCTTGTTTTAGTTGAAGAGAAAAATAATGAAACTAAGAAAGAAACTGATGAAGAACGTGGTGTAATTGATCACATTGGTGATACTATATCCAATGCATATCATTATGTTGCTGAGAAAGTTCATGGTTTGCTTACCAAAGATTTTTTTGATTTATTAATTTTAAAAATGTTTTTTTTAATTTTAGAGGCGGCAAGTGTTGTATCATTTGAAACTAATAAAGAAAAAGCCAAAGATTCGGATAATACAGTTGGTGAACGTGTTGGAGCTGGTTGTTCGGCTGTTGCTAATAAGACTGAAGAAAAAGTTCATCAAGCAAAAGCTGAAGGACATAAAGGAGCAATTTAGAAAAAATAAAATTAATTTTTTAATGTGTTCAATAACTTATTCTCAAATAAATAATATATTTACATTGTTTCCGTTTGTCTGTGCAATATAAAATCTTATTCTAGTTATTTTATTCGGTTCTTTTATTATTTCCTTTATTGTATTGTTAATAGAATAACATAAAATACACTAATAAGTTATATTATTCATTAATGGACACAGATGTGACATATTTCGATATAGAATGAAATACATACAAAAATTTAAGATCCGATTTAATAAGCAAAATTGCTAAGAACAATCAGACAAAAATATTTTACACATTTGAATTGAGTTTTATCTCTATCAATAAGAAGTTTTGTTTGCTTATTAACTGACTATCGATTACAGTAAAATAATGTTTAATAGAAGTCACAAGTGGTGCTGATAGTACATTTTTACTATTGGTCGACCAGATGATTCATTCGTTTTTTTTTTGTTATTGTTTCTGGCTTGCAGTTATTATCGTCGAGAGTTAATCTTCGTCGAAAAGAAAATCATGTTTAGTTCTAAGAAAGCTTTATTTCTATTAACAAATATTAGTAGTGAAGAAAATAAAGCTGTTTTATTATAGTCGATGTAAGAAAAGACTTAATTGAATTTATCTATTGTTTTTTTTTTTTGCTTTAAATGATTCTTTGTTGTGTTGATATTGAAGTAGCCATTAATTCAATTGAACAAAATTGTGAAGCTCTGCAATATACTTAAGATACTGTTATTATACCAGATATATCTATAAAGGAAATATGATGTTGTTATCGTCTTAGATGATGATAATAATTCAAAAGATGATTAAAAAATTTTCTTTTGTACGATTTACAAGTTTTTTTTAAAGCTCATGAAATTACAATGGTTACAGATTATCTAGAATGTTTCAAAAATATTAAAAGAAGGTTGTCATGTATGTAAATCAAAAGTGAATTAAAGACAATGTTGATTTATTATTTTTTCTTTTGAGAAAGTTTTTTCATCAATTAGTTCAACATTGTGAATTAAAAACAATTGTTAGTGAATTAGTCACAAAACCATGATAGAACTAATTTGAATGCTAGTCAACTATCTAAGCTGTTTGTTCAACTAGTTGACAATTAAAAAAAATAACTAATTAATTCTAGAATAGTAAAGAAACGCATTTTCTATCTATCTCTTTCATCTTCAGTCTAAATCGATTCGATCAGTTGACGGATATAGTTTTGACTATATTTCAATTCTACAAAAAACAAAAATACGACTTTAATTATTTAGATCAGAAATGACAAAGTGTCATTTCTTTCATAAATAAACAGAAAAAAGCTGTTTGAACAATCCCTGCGGTCTTAAAATATGAAACACGATGTAGCTACCCTTGCTAATGACAGACAGATTGTTTTATTCTATCTATTTTGAGATACATTTCTCTACCATCCATTTACTTAATCTTCCAGAAATGCAATAATAAAGTAGTTTATATGTTATGATGAGACGTTATCGATTTACGAATCTTTGATCGTGTATCAACAACGTCTGTTGTGTGGTGTGAAGTTCTTTAGCTAGCATCGATCACTGTCTATGTCCCGTAAAAATCTGTAATTTTGTAAATAAAGCTTCGATTCAATCGAATACTATTGGTTATAGTCATTAAAAAGAACACTCTAATGATAAATAAAAGTTTTTTTCTAATGAAAGATGATACTTTGCATAGACAATCCTACTTCACATTTTCTAATAAAAATCTCTGGTGAGCCATCAGAAAATAAGAAACTCTTTGGAACTCCCTAGGGAATTTGATAAATTAGTGGAACAATACATCGACTATTTTCCTTTATATTTCTAGAAATATAAGACAGTGAAGCTTCAAAATGAAACAATGGTTTTTCTTTTTTTTTAATTGAATGTCTTTTCTAAGTAATAGATATTGTTTGGACGTAAGTTAACTTTAGAATCGATCAACTTATCCACTAGAATAGGTCTTACTAAGTGACTCGTGTGGGAAAAGTGACAATCTTTTTTTCATATAAACTTTATTTTCATTGGTAAACAATTGAACAAATAAAAGCTGAACTACTGTGAATAGAAACATTGAAATCTATTTTAGCACTGATTTATTTCGAAGAATCTCGCTAAGAAAATTCCAGAAATTCTCATGATTCCGTAAAATGAAGCACAAAGGTAGCTTTAAACAGATAACTAACAAAACACTAGTTATCAATGTTCTTAATAAAGAAAGCCTCAAGCATTTTTTTTTAAGAACCGCTAATGTCCTGTGAAAATTGCATCCATTTTATAGTTAATTGATTTATATGATCGCGAAAAGAATGAATAATGAGTTAACTAAAAATGATCCAAATTCTCAAATGTATACAATTATAAATAAATATTAGTGAATCTGTTAATTTTATTAGATATTAAAATAATAATAATAATTTGTTGCCACTATTTCATCGAGAAGTGTCCAAGAACTGAGAAATAGGAATTCCTTTACAGTTTCATGATTGCTGAAATAAAAGAAACGCATAATATATACGATATTTTTTTTTTCATCAAGGAATTTGTGAAAATGAATTTTTCGGTATGAAAACTATTATAGAAAAAGCATTGCTTTGGCTTTTATGGATGGTGGAACTGTGAAGAAAATAATGGTCAATTCCCATAACTTCGTTGAGAATTCCTTTACAACTGAGGAATTTCGATTTTTTTCAGGTCTTGCAAATTTCTCGTATGAATTTTCATAATAGAAGATTATGACTTTTTATTCTACGGAATAAATGATTATTAGCATTTTTATTTCATACCGAAGAAATAATCTGCATTATCATAAATACACTTTTAAAAACCTTGTTATCCAAGTCTCTCCTGAGTTGAAATGTGAAACTCACTAATACAAAAATACACACACAGTGTAAAAATCTCTAAAAATGATTTATTATGTACTTTGATAAACTAAGAAACCCTAGTATTAATTATTCCCGAGAGTTAGAACTTAATCAATTCATACTTTTCTGTTGATCATTTGACAATTGTGAGAAATCAAAAACAGCGTTCTTGATATCTACCATATAATCGTTTATCTGCGAAAAAATCAGAAATTGCATTATTTAGAATATGGAAAAATGTATTCCAGTCATTTAAATTTCAAAAAAAGTTATGGAATGTTCTAAAATCTTCTAAGCCTTATTATTAATATCGTTCAGTGTCTTCGGGAGGAATCTGCAAAACTTTCACGAAAATATTAAGACAATGTCTAACTATAAGATTTATTCTTGTTTACATCACGATGATGAATAAGTTAAAAATGAACAACATCATTTGTATTGAAAATACTTGTTTTAAAAAAATATATATCTATCAAATTTTTAGTTATATATGATATATATTTTTAAGAAATTCAATAATAAATTTTATTTTCAGATGACAAAAAAAACACTCGTTCTTATTGCTAATGGAAGTGAAGAAATTGAAGCAGTAACAACAATTAATGGTATGTTTGTTTTTATTTTTAAATTTGTTCTTTAATTATTTATTTATTTGTTAGTACTTCGAAGAGCTGAAATCGAAGTTGATGTTGTATCAATTGAAAAAAATGGTCATGATGCTGTAAAATGTAGTCGTCATGTTCGTGTTGTACCTGATAAATCATTGGATGATATAAAAAATAATCAATACGATTGTGTTGTTATTCCTGGTGGCAATGATGGTTAGTATATATTTATTGAATTAATGCAAAAAAAGAAAATTAATGATATTCATTTGATATCATCAAATGAGATTATTTATTAATGAATTTTCTTTTTTTTTTTTGTTTTAAATTTAGGCTCAAAAGCAATAGCTGCTAATGTTGAAGTTGGACAAATTTTAACAAAACATTATCAAGATGGAAAAATTATTGCTGCTATTTGTGCTGGACCACGAGCATTATTATCTCATAAAATTGGTTTTGATCATAAACATACAATAACATGTTACCCAACTGTACGCAAAGAATTTACTGATGGTGAACCATATAAACTTGATGTACCTGATCATCCTGTTTGTTATAGTAAACATATAGAAGAAGGTAAATGTTTAATTATTTTAATTAATATATACTTTGATTAATTTTGTTTATTTAGGTATCGAAAAAAAAGAATATCATCTAGTTACAAGTCAAGGACCTGGTACAACAATGGTTTTTGCATTGAAATTAATTGAACTTCTTAAAAGCAAAGATGAAGCAATAAAAGTTAAAGATGGATTACTTGTTTAAAATTTAATTTTCTTGTGACCATCTTACTCCTTTTTTTTTTTTTTAGATTCAACTTAACCTAGCAGTATTATTGACCTGTATTCCTTTTTTCAATATAAAAATAGACAAGTTCTTAATCCATTCTTTTTGTTTGTCTTGAAACGAGGAAAAAAAAAAGTTCAACAATATTAAAATATGACCAATACACGTTATCTATATCGCTTAAAATTCACAATATCAAATGCATAAATTTGGACTACATTTTCATAAATCAATAGGCCATACGAACAGATTGATTTCTTCTCTTCTAAATTTTTCTTGTATTCTATATTTTCTCTGAAAATTTTTCCTATTGTGGAAAAATGAAGTCTATTCTGAAAGAGAGATTCCCAGAAGCTATAGATTTTATATGAAAAAAAGGCCCTATTGAGTATGCCAAAGCCTTTTGTTTTAAAATATTTCTGATCTTTGAAAAAAAAAATTTCAATCAAATTCTTTCATGAATTTTTGTATTAGACACTTAGCTCTTCCTAAGAAGAAAAAAATGATGAAGTCTCCACGACACTCCATCATAGCGCTATATCAAAAACGAAATTATTACAGAACTTTTGTATCATCCATTATTCAATACACTTTTCTCTCTAGGTTTGATTATAGGATATAGGTGAAAATAAGAACCACATACACAACACTCTCAAGTTGTATCTGCTATATAAAATATTTTATGCATGACTGTATAATGCAACTTTTATTTTACTATTTCTTGTCTTGAATTTTTAAT